TGCTAGCAATCTGTAATATGTTTTCTGAATTTTCCCCATGCTTTTCACTGTCCTTGCAATTTGGAGGAAAGTAACAGGAGTATCTAAAATGGCATGTAGTGAATTCCATCTTTGTCCTCTTTAGAGAGCAAAATAAATCATGTCAGATTCTGAAGAGAAGCTGCTTGGCTGAGTTTAGTTTGCTCCATTAGAGTTTTCATCTACAAGGTTGTTGTTGTGTACCTTCAAGTTGTTTCTGACTTATGGCAACTCTAAAACAACTGTATGATAGGTTTTTGGGCTTCAGCTCCCAGAATTCTTGACCATTGAACAAGCTGTCTAGGGCTTCTGGTACTTGGAGCTCCAAACACCTGGAGGAGAGGACTACAGGTTGAAGAAGCTTGGTTTAGGAAGTACTGTTGCCAGAAAAAACAAACTTTATAACAATTAATGCTTTGATAGCTCACAATTTATGGTTTGAATTTAACAAAGATGCATCTTGTTGATTTTCTCAGTGATAAATTTATCTTTGCTTTTTTTTCTTTTGCCCTATTTATATGAACCTCCTGCTTTCCCCCCAACCCCCTCCAGTATGTTCAGTTGCTGATCAATTCTGTTTTGTTGTGTGTGTTAGGAAAGGGTTATGGGAGCGGCAGTGGGCACAGTCATGCAAATTTCACACCAATGGTGAGAGTAAGGAACACTGGGATGCCTGTGGTGGAGGAAACACAGAAAATCTAGGATGGAATTGTCTCCGTATGAAAGCTCTCACTTGGGTGGTGAGCAATATGGTGTTTGTGGAAGATATTGGCAGGGCTCTTGGGCATGTTCATGGCGCTCACTATAACCTGCAATGTCATTGGAGAGAGGCTTTTACTGCTTGGCAGAAAGAAGGGGTTTGATTGGATGGCCTTTGGGTCCCTCCCAACTCTGATTCTATCATATATCTATTATATAATATGAGATAGCTTTTGTGGCTTTTAAAAAAACTGCTTTTGACATTTAAAAAAATCCTTAAAATCAGTAGATATATGAATATTTCTGAAAGTTGGAGGGAATGATCCCCTGTTATCTTGTGTCATTGTGTAGAAAATTCAAGGAGATAGTTGTTGTAGTTTTTTTAAAATGTTGCTTATAAAAAATGTGAAAATTCCCCCAAAATCCATGGATAAGTGAAACGTTCTGAAATTTGGTGGGCTAATGGTGGTAAATGTGTTTTACCATTGTAGCAAGTCTCACCCCACTAACTGAAAATTAGGGATAAAGGAGCCCCAGAAGTTTCCCCAATGCGTACTTACCATAAAAAAATAATAACAAAATTTCATTACACTCATTACAAACAAAATTTCCATTAACGATACTTTAGAAACACGGTAGAAATGAAATGCCAGCGCCACCCAGTTTTGTAATGACTCTTGAAACTTTTATTTATGGACCGCACATGCCTAGTAGCTGAAGATAATGCTGATTTCATAGTTAACTAGGATTTATTTTGTTCTATAACAGTCATCAATTGTGTCTATGCAGATTGGGAAGATCTTGGTAGTTTTGTATATTGAATATTGTAATGCTTGTGATTTATTACATCTGATCTCGCCATTCAAGACTTTCAAAGGACAACATTTGTTCCGTGAATAACTCCTTGGCCAATTCAGTTGCTTTTTTTTCCTTCACAAACATTTTATTGTTCAAAAGTCAGAAAACTGCAACTCCACAGTTTTCTTCAGCTGTGTTTTCCAAGCTGGAGGGAGAGCTTATTTTCTAGCAATTCAGAGGCCTAAATGCTTTTTCATAGTATGCAGCAGACGCTCTGTGCTCAAGAAGGGAGGTGTAATATGATCAAATAAATATACTTGGTAGTGTTTGAATGGCATCTCCCTTGTGAAAATACAGTGTTATTAACTGTTAGAAGTTACAGCTCTAATTCAGCCAGCTCTTAGTAGTTGGATTTTCCCTCATCATATTATTTCCCCAATACTTTTCTTGGAAATTTGCCTTTTATTTAATTCTCCCATCCATCACCTCTAGCATGTTTGACTGCATTTTCATACTCATGCAATAGCTTCTCAGATAACAGTGGGATCTGGTAAAACAACAACAACTAAAAAGAAAGAAAAAGAAACAGAAGAAAGCAAAACAACACTACATAGGTTTGCAGCTGCGCAGGCCATATTGTAGGGGTCTTATTTCATTATGCATGCGCTTGTACTTATGTTTTGAGAACAGCAACTGAAGAAAATGATTGCAGTCTATTTTAGTAGCATAACTAATAACTTGGCAATAACACCCTTCAGCCCATGATCTAAAAATAATTTGAGAAGTTCCTTCTAGATGAAAGCACAGTATGTTTTAAAAGTACACACACCCTTCTGTTGTTGTGCATTGTGAATAAAGAACTTTAGAAAATGCTCATGAAAGATGGAAGAAAGGCGAACCAACCCTGCATGGGGTATCTCTGGGTTTCTGGCAATGTATGTCAGCATTTCCCAAAAGGGAATTTATAATCATTTGCAATGTAGCTTGAATATTACTTGAACATTACACAAAACCCCACTTGTAGCTGTGCAAGTGAACAATGGTATAGGCCTCTTCTCAATTTTATATTGTTGGGTGTTGGAAAACTGGTTAAGAATATCTTTGTGCCAGCATCACAGACTCTGCTTCTCCCATTGCTCTTGTACAGCAAGACATTCTCTATGAGAAAAGGGGTGTGTGATGAGCATTGCATGTGGTGTTATGAGTTTAAACTCTAGAGACTGTTTGCTTCAGTTCTATATTGCACTCCAGAGAAAATCTCTCTAGCTGTGGCATAGAGTTGGCATTGCAGCATTTCTGAGGGCACAGCATGCTTGCTAAATTAGTTGTCCATGTAGCATAGTCATGAAAGCAAGCACTTATTTGGAATATTAGGCCAAGAAGCCATAATCTGCAGTGTTTGGCTTGTGTTAGACTACAGATGTTTTTGGGAACTTCACACATCAGAGCGTGGAGTCAGTAATCCCCCCTCTGACCTGTAACCATTATTTGGAATTCAAATGTACACATCTTTTAAACCTGGAGTCCCCGTGCTGAAATAATGTTGACCTTTGCCAAACTTTGTGGTAGAGAATTACATCTGACTATTATACTTTATGTAACAGAGTCCTTTCTTTTGCCTATTATTGTGGGCTCTATCACTTGGATTGGGTGTCATGAGTTTTACTTCATCATTATAACCTCTCATGTCATCTTTATGCTATGTCCCTCCCCAATTTTATTTTATTGAAATGACGCTCCAGGCCTTTGATTCTTCTACTCTTTTCTGCATATTTTCTACCACTATCATACCCCTTTTGTTGATTTGTTTCTACCTTTGTTTGATTTCTGCTTTATAAGCCACCTTGAGTTATTTGTTGTTAAAAGAGGGTAGAGAAAGTGTTAAACTGCCAACTGGCACTACACACAGAATTTTAATTGCAGCCTTACCCAAGAGGTGAAGAAACTCTCTTTGGGATGTACAGTATTTTTGCAATAGCAATTCCTTATCAATAAAACTCATTAAAAGCTACACAGTCTGCAGTTTTAAGTGATGACTCAGTTTTTAATGGACAGAGAACTACAGTGTAAGTAGGGAGTGTTTTGAGGCTTTTTGAAAGATTTCTTGTCATAGAAAGACGGTGCATTCTTGGTCATAGAAGGGTACACATTTGAAATATTTACTCAGTTGGAGTCTCCCACCTTGTGAACATACATAATTTTTGCAGTCTATTAAATGCCTCATAAAACTGATAGTAGCACTGCTTTGAACACCATCAGTCTGCATTTCTCTATGTGTGCATGTTAATTTTAATTTTAAAATTGATAATAATTGTGTTGAAAGGGAAGGGATAGATAAGAAACAAGTAGTGTTTATGAAATATTCCTAGACATAGGTATTGTTTTTAATGTTACTTCCTGGGATGTATGTTTAAAGTGTAGTGTATTTTAATTACTAAAGTGCCTTGAGTCCTGGGGAAAAAAGCAAATGATGATGATGATAGTAATATAGCTGGAGAATGGGACACTGAAAAACAAGAAACAAAAGAACTTACATATTTGCAGCTCAAGTGCAGGCACTTCAAACAAATAGTATCAAGGCAAATGTTGAAAAAATAACTGGGTAATATATTGTCTTTGGAAAGAAAAAGACGAAACTCTCTTCTACTTTAGCAGTTTGTGCAGTAAGATTCCAGAGAGCTAATACAAGAAATGCGAAATGCCATGATAAAGTGGCTGCTCTGATAGAAAGGAAACTAGCATGTGTTCAAGATGTTCATGGTCTTAGGAATTTCATATACATTTTACAGTCATGGTAACAACCATAGTTAGTTATTTTGTGTGTGGGATTTGAGTGCCTCTTAGATCTACATTACAATTGTGATTAGCTTCAGAAAACAGTAAAAGCTGAGTTATAATCCCCAATCTAGCATTCAATAAGTTCGCCTATTAATATAAAAGACTGGGTTTTAATTTGGCTACAATGAGGTGATTTTGCAAAATGGTGATTGGCAACAAATAAATTAGAATATACAAGCACGCTTTTACTTGTATTTTGAAAAGTATATCTTTTGAACTTACTGCGGAGTTTGTCGCACTTACAATCTGAGTTCCTCTACGGAGGTAGAGAAGATCGGGATATAAAAGTTTTAAATAATAAATAAATGATTCATATCTTTTTTTATTGTGTTTTTAGTAGGGAAGAAGGTATTGTTCCATTTAGAAACATAAGCAACTATTGGTGAATTTGTCTGAAAAGCCTTGTCTTCTATTTCTACCTGTGTTGAAAAAGTTTGTTGTGTATATGGGAAAAGCTTGTGTATGTGGAAAAGGGGAGATTTGTCTTCATCAATGGAAGAATGATTGCATTTTCATTCATTGTTCTGTGCCTTTTTTCATATGTAGAAAAAAATCATTTCCAACATTTTTTTCTACATATGGTCTGTAGTTTATTAAATGGGACCCTAAAAACTAAGCAAGTGTTGTGAACTTCTCTGTATTTGTAGGAATATTTTGGTAGACAAACCCAACGATCAGTCGTCACGGTGGTCCTCTGAAAGCAACTACCCTCCACAGGTAAGTAATTCTCTCTCCTACTATATTTTGAATATTTTAAATTCTGCCATCACCACCAAAATTAACTTCTTTGAGGTTATCTCTCCTAATCTAGACAAATCTGCTGTATAAAAACTCTTTTTTTGTGTATGTTAGGGTTAGGTTGGTGCAAGAATGTATACTGTGAACATTATCATGTACTGCATATGGTCATGTATAAATCTACTTCATGTACGAGTCAAGGGCAGTTAATTTTGGGGCCAAAATTATGGATTTCTGTGTAAATTTGTGGATGAGTTGTGCATCGTTCTGTGGAGAGGGGAAAGCACCAGAACAACTTCAGGGGGCCAGCTGTTTCTGGGCCAGTTGCCACTACCATTTTCCTTCCGTACATTCAAGCAGCTCTAAAGTGATGCCATGATAAAGAAAGTAGAGGGTCCTGGTGTTTCTTTTAGATTTTCTGGGAGAGTCTAAGCCTTTGCTTTTTGCCACACTACTCAGATTTGTTTGTTTGTTTGTTTGTTTGGTTGGTTTTTTTTTTGGATAAAGCAAGAATGGCCATTGCCTTGTGGACAAGTCATTCTAGTTTTTAGGGTTAATTTTTGACTAATATTCCAAACTTATGCATGAGTATGTAGAGTAAGTGTTGGTTCTTGATTATTATGGTGTTTGTATTATTATTATTATTATTATTATTATTATTATTATTATTATTATTATTGTTATTTGATACACAACAAGGTTAGTACACAGCAAACAAGATCACTATGCTGGCTGTTGTATTGGACCACACATTGGATACTTCCAAAGTGTCTAGGACTATGTGATGTATCAGTGAATAATACATGCAGATCCGAGTAGGATGGCTTTTTGCAGCTGACAGATGGTAATTTTGTCAGTGCTGATTGTTTTTAAGTGCTGGCCAAGGTCTTTAAGCACTGCTCCCAGTATGCCAATCTTCACTGGTTATTCTTATTATGTTTATTATTATGTTTATTTATACTCTGCTTTTTCTCTCTAGAAGGAGACTCAAAGCTGCTTACACTAAAAGCATTTCAATACAATTTGAAATATACTGATATACAAACATTAAAACAGAATTAAATATCAATGATATTAAAAATACAGTTAAAATCCATCAAAATGTATTCAAAGCTATGCCCTGAGACTTTACAGAAGAACAAATTGCAGCTATCTCTCGGACAGACATGAGTAGCAAGATAGCTATCCCGAATAATTGTGGGAAATGTACAGATTATAAATTATCATTTGATAGTATGTGTATGTTTGTACCAATAAAGTAAAAGTTCTACAAAGCCATATAAGAGCAGGTGGTGGTTTTCAGCAGTAAATAAATATGCAACGCTCTTAAAGCTTCTGCAGCGATGTCTTCTGCTCTCTTGCTTTCACTTTAGTTGATAGACAAACACGAAAATTGAAGTCTTCCTGCTTTTTCATATGATTTTGTTAACTTCCTATGCCAAAGCAATTAATTCATTTTGAAAAGATTGTAATGCATTGGTATAGTTAGTAAGGTTTTGTTGAGAAGTAAACGCAATTATTTCAAAATGAAGATGAATTTCATGTCTTTTTTTATACTTTAAAAAAATTATAAAAATCGAATTAAAATACAATTAAATGGTTTTTATCTTTTGTTAAAATTGATTGAGTTTTATCCTCTTTGTAGGTCAGGGAAGGGCAGGTGATGGGACAGAGGCAGCTTTATGAAGAAAATGGTTCCTTTAAATGCAAGCCAATTATAATGTTCTTGCTTTCTTGGTAATGAAAGGATATGAGTCCCCCACCAGTTATTTTAAGATCTACAAAGAGTATAAAATGTATGTGGAAGCAGTAATTGTAGTGTTCAGGGTACCTAGGCTGTTGGTAGTGGGCTGGTCTGTTTATTTTTAGCATTAAGTTTGTATAGACACGTATCTGAGTGTTGTTTTCCGAAAAGTGCTCTAGCTAAAAAATAACCATCTAAATAATCATAGTCTATGCTTCCTCCATAGGTTTACCAGATGGTATTTAATAGTTCTTCTTGGCAAGGATTGCTCTTGTGATACTCAGCAATTTGATAATGATATGTTAGTGTGCCCTGAGGGTATTATGGAATTTTGTATTATATAAAGCAATAGAAAACTGAAGTGAATTTGAGCTTGCTCCACAAACTGATCATCAGGTGTCTAGTGGATGACAGCATGATCATCATTGAAAGTCATATTCTGAAAGCGAGAGTGGATAATTATTAACCTGGACAAATCCCTTTCTAAGTGACAGTAGTTTATGTTCACTTGGAGTAAGAAAGATAGTGGCTTGACATGAATAACACTTCCAGGTGTTCAGTGGGACAAAGGTAGGACATAGAAATAAACAGATAGTGGGTTGGAATCAGTTATGACTCCTTTGGGTTAATGATATGAGTAAATTTTTACATTAGTGATGAATGCTAGCATAAATCATGAGGGAATACTATATCAAAACCATTTAAGGGCTTTTAGGACTAGTTACAAACAGGCAAACATTTGCTAGCTGTTCCTATGTGTTTACTTTAGGAAAACTCACATATTGTATTCATTTATTACTAGCATTTTCTACCTACTTCTCTTCTTTTGCAATTCAGGGATACATTTCAGGCTTTTAGAAACATCTTTTGAAATGTTTATCTTGCAACCAAGGCTTTTAGAAACCCTCAGGGTAGCTCTCGACAAGTAAAATACATGAAAATATTGCACTGGTACAGTCCCACAAATTAGGAAAAAAATGAATTACTGTAATTACAGTTCACAGCAGCCAGAGAATTTCAGCATAAAAGGATCCTACACAAAAGGCATGCCAAAACATAATATGTAAATAATGTGCAAAAATGTATGTGTCATACTTTCATCCAAGAGCATAGATTGACTAGATTCTGCTCCTTGTTTTATGTAAACTCCATTTCATGCCAAGGTTTTCAGCCTTTTGTTTTGTTTTTGTTTTTTGAAAAGACCTTCTCCTGGTATCTCATGGTTGGCACCGGTACAGAGCATATTTTTTCATAAATACTTAACATATTATACTTAAATATTCCTTTAATTTAAATAAAGAAAAACACTAAAAAAAACAACCAGGGGAATTTCTGACGGGAAAGAATCAGGGCCAGCTAACAGCTCCCATCAAATGATCCCCCTAGGCAGGAAGCAGCCAGGCCTTGAAGCTGCAAGGCCATTAGTGCTGGTTGTTTTGACAAATGTAAAACAAAAACTGAGACCAACATCCATCTTTTCACCCTCTAGTATCTCATCTTGAAACTTGAAAGACCTGCCATAGTCCAGAGTATAACATTTGGAAAATATGAGAAGACCCATGTCTGTAACTTAAAGAAGTTTAAAGTGTTTGGTGGGATGAATGAAGAAAACATGACAGATCTATTATCTAGGTAAGAAGGATACTTCAGTGTTTCTAGGCATGAGAACATGCCTTTCTTTGCAGGAATAATAGATATGTGAACATAAATCCCCAAGTTTTGGATACCCAAATGAAGTCCTATTATATACAGTGGCATAGTAAAATTGTATCCCTTGTCTAAAACAGCAAAATCAATATTTGTTTATTGGAATTTTGTGTGGAATATTTTCAAACCATGAAAAATAGAATCTACGGATGCAGAATCTGTGGAGATGATCGCCTGACTGTAATTCATAAAGCAGACCGAGAAGTGCTTCTAAACTGATTCCCAATATATTTTCAAGACGAGGAAAATTGTTTCCTGATACATTTCCCTGCACTATAAATGTACTCTTTTTTTTTGTCCAGGGGGAGGTAGGGGGATACTTGTATTATAGCAGTCTATCCCATCATGCTGTAGTAAATCAATCAAGATCCATACAAAATATCATCTGCTGGTTATCAGTAAAATCCTTGGCAAGATTTAATAACTGTGTGTTTTTCTCTTTGCAGTGGCTTAAAGAATGACTATAACAAAGAAACCTTTACATTGAAGCATAAAATTGATGAGCAGATGTTTCCGTGTCGATTTATCAAGATAGGTAAATATATCCCCTCTTGGTTTTTATTTTATCACTTCTCCCTCGCCTCTATTCATGCTTGTGATGAGCCCTTTTTATTTCTCAATCTCTTCAGGCTGATTACCTAGACAGTTTCAAAGCTTTGAAACTGAAATGCATACTGCATACTGGGATAGGAATCTATAGTGTGTGGTATCTGTCTTTTGTCTAGAGCAAACTTTCCCGGCATTGCAGGGTCTATTCTGTTTCCCCTCCCCATAGCCTTTAAAGCACTATTGGATTCTTAGTTTTTCAGCATGCAGTGTAAGTTGATCTTGGCTCTCACTGACCTCAGCCAGATTTGGGCTTTAATGTTAGCTCAGACTTGGAACTAGCAGTAACTGGGAACTTTGAGTAGACATTTAAGCCTTTGACTACAATATGTCCTGGTATGTGTTGACTCTTGTTTTGGTACCAGCATTGTATTCTCTTACATTCAGGATTGGGTTGTTCTTCATTCTCATAGAGATGAAAGTGGACCAAAAGGCAGGAACTGGGCTCAGATTTGAGCATGTGTGCCTATGCATCTTCAAATCACTTGTTGACATGTGGCTACCCTGTGAATTTCACAGGGTTTTCCTTGGCAAGAAATATTAAAAGCTTCTTTTGATGGTTCCTTCCTCTGAAGCATAGCTTCCAACACCTATCATTTGTGAGTGATTCCCCCATCCAAGTACTAACTAGGACTGCTTTGCTTTCAAGATTAGGCAGGATCTGGTGCCTTTAGGGCAGGGGTCCTCAAACTAAGGCCCGGGATGTAAGCAAACTATAGTCCTTTTAGCTCTTCCAAGTTAAAAACCAGATTTGTGAACTCTGCTTGTCTTGATTTCAGCGAAGTAGTCTAAATTTTGTAATGTGTATGGCCCTCCAAAGTCATTTACCCAGCCTCGCTCAGGGGCAACCTAAGTCTGAAACGACTTGAAAGTACACAACAACAACAATCCTATCTCATCAGGCAAAAGCAGCCCCACACTTCCCACTGAAATACTAATGTTTATTTTGTGTTAAAATTGTTCTTTTTTTATTCTTGTATTGTTGTTAAGTGGTTTTTTTTGCACTACAAATAAGATATGTGCAGTTTGTATAGGAATTCATTCATGTTTTTTTTCAAATTATAATCCGGCCCTCCAACAGTCTGAGGGACTGTGTTCTGGCCCTCTGTTTAAAAAGTTTGAGGACCTCTGCTTTAGGTATTTAGGTGGGCTCAGATGTAAGCAAACTACAGTTCTTTTAGCTCTTCTAAATTAAAAACCAGATTTGTGAACTCAGCTTGTATTGTTTTCAGTGAAGTAGTCTAAATTTTGTAATGTGTATGAAGCATTTGGAGGAATAGCACTAGTGCTAAATAGTTATCCTTATGATATAAATTATTTTGGCATTGTGAGACCTCACTTCAGTGTAAAATAATGTGATAGACACAGATTTCTGATCCTCTTGCTTGGTATTGGCTGGGTGGGTAATATAAATAATTTCAAATGGCTATCCATCTTGGAACCTTTGTGATGCTGTGCCAGACAGCACTCTCTGGATTAAGGGAATTGGATTTGTTTTCATATTGCCAAGGATATCTCATTTGCTTTGCATTAGAATTGTCGGGTGGCCCTGCCTGTTACATATTACGAACTGGCAAATTTCTCCCTACCTGAGCCATGTTCCAATTATATCTGCTTTGGATTACAAGTATTTGCAAGACAGATGAATAAGCATGCCAGAAAATGTGCTGTTGTGTTAATGCTATTATTTTTCTTAGGTATTTTGCTCTTTGATAGAACGTTACTGCTTCTTTCATACCTTCATTTGACCTACATGGAAGTAGATTTTAGAGGGAAGCAGTAGTGTTTAGGGCAGGGGTCTTCAGACTTTTTAAACAGAGGGCCAGGTCACAGTCCTTCAAACTGCTGGAGGGCCAGATTATAATTTTTTTAAAAACCACGTAATTTGAATTCCTATGCACACTGCACATATCTTATTTGTAGTGCAAGAAACACTTAAAAAGGATACAATACTTAAAATGAAGAACAATTTTAACAAATACAAGCTTATTAGTATTTCAACGGGAAATGTGGGCCTGCTTTTTGGCTGATGAGATAGGATTGTTGTTGTTGCTATTGTTGTTGTTGTTGTTGTTGTGTGCTTTCAAGTCATTTCAGACTTAGGTTGACCCTGAGTGTGGGCTGGGTAAATGACCTTGGAGGGCCCCCGGGCCTTAGTTTGAGGACCCTTGGTTTAGAGGGTAATTTATATCTCTAGCTACAATAGTAATGCTTCTTTCCTCCTCCAGCTAGTATGAAGCACATAATTTGCTTTTGAGTCATCGGTTACTAAGGTTGTCATTGTGATGCCAGAATATGCAAAGGGCTTGACCCAGTATGACTTTTAGTATCACTGTGCCATAGAATCCCCCACGTGCTTGTCAGTTATCATAACACAATGCTATCTTCCCATCCGACATCCCCCCCCCCCCCACTACTTCTGCCAGCATCTAAATATTGGATATTGGGGGCAAATAGTGGATTGGGAAGTGGGGGATTGCAACTTTTATTGACTGGATCTCAGCTTTGCAGAAGCATTTGCCTTATTTATTTATTTATCGTGTCAGGAGCAGACCAAACAGTTGTGTTGCATTTTTTTAAACAAACAAACAAACAAAACACAAAGTTTGCAAGCTTGGTAGTTGATTAAATATCCTTTGACCAGTATCTGGCCACTGGGAGTGCCTCTGGTGTTGCTGCAAGAAGGTCCTCCATCATGCATGTGGGAGGGCTCAGGTTGCATTGCAGCAGGTGGTCTGTAGTTTGCTCTTCTCCACATTCGCATGTTGTGGATTCCACTTTGTAGCCCCATTTCTTGAGGTTGGCTCTGCATCTCGTGGTGCCAGAGCACAGTCTGTTCAGCGCCTTCCAAGTTGCCCGGTTTTCTGTGTGCCCAGGAGGGAGTCTATCATTTGGTATCAGCCATTGATTGAGGTTCTGGGTTTGAGCCTGCCACTTTTGGACTCTAGCTTGCTGAGATGTTCTAGCAAGTGTCTCTGTAGATCTTAGAAAACTTTCTTGATTTAAGTCATTGACGTGCTGGCCAGAAGCATTTGCCTTGCTGCCATTGAAATAGAAGTGTTAGACACAGATTAATTTTCTTGCCTGGTCTATCAGTGTTGCTCTTGCTGGAAGTGAAGAAGCACCAACACTTTACATGTAGAGCAATTGGGGACAGAGGGAACCCTATGGTGCATGCCTGCTGTCTTGTTTTTACCTCTGCTTCTAAGGTCTGTGTAACTCAAGATGTTTTGCTTCCTGCCTGAATGTAGAGGTAACTTCTCCCTCCCTCCCAAAAGTCTTTAGCACTGTATCTGAGAAGGGAGCATCATGGGGTCTCTCTCTGCCTCAAGGTGCCTTACGTACAGACCCGAGAGTCAGCATTAGGGACTCTTCTACCAAGTTAGATAATTTTCTTTTGCCTCTCTACTCTCTTATCTGAGATGCATTGCCTGTAGCAATAAAAATAAGTTCTTATCCTTTTAGCCTTACCAGAACACCCTGAGCAATTTCTCTCCTGCTTCCTACCATAAGTTCATATATAGCACTGGCTCCACTGCTACAGATACCAAATTTTTCCTGCAGCTCTTAAGACGAACCTAGAATTTGGTGTCTGGGTGGAGAGTTAGCAGAGGCCTTCGAAAGAAAAAGAAGTTCTAAAATATTGATGAAAGTGGCGATTTGACAGAGTTCTGTCAATTCAAGATATAGGGAAAGATTTTACCAAGTATGAAAATACCCACTTGAGTTTCTATGGCTCTGAAAACGTTCCAAGCCTGTGACATTCTCAGCACAGCCTGTGAGCGCTCTACGTGTGGTGTGTGGGCTGCAGTGAGAACATGGCTCGTAAGCTGTCATTCCTTCTGTGTTCTTCTGCTTCAGTGCTCTCAGGTCTCAAGTATTAAGATGATGGAAATGTCTTTTTTCACTAGGCTACTTTACCACAAGCAAATTTCTCTTGAGCAACTGACCAGAGCAGAGTCATTTTTAATGTCTAAACAAAAATGATCTGTGCAACTCATGAGTTTGCTTTTAATTTCAAGGCCAGTTGGCCCAGTAGGAGGGATTGCTCCATTTGCATTTTGTTTTTCAGCTTGGTGAATTGATTTTACTGCAGAGTCACACTTCTTGAGTTGCTTTTATTCAGGGATGGGCAAAGTATGGACAGCATGTGAGACCTCCGCATCCGACATCTCCTCCCCCACCCCACTGGTGACTTTTTAAATACCCCAAACGATCAATAATAAGGTATTGTCAAAGGCTTTCATGGCCGGAATCACTGGATTGCTGTGAGTTTTCCGGGATTTATGGCCATGTTCCAGAAGCCTTCTCTCCTGACGTTTCACCCACATATATGGCAAGCATCCTCTGAGATTGTTAGGTCTGTTAGAAACTAGGCAAGTGGGGTTTATATATCTGTGGAATGGGTGGGAGAAAAACAACTCTTGTCTGTTGGAGGCAGATGACAACATTCCCAGGTTCTTTTTGGAGAAGCATTGGTAGACTAGATGGCCAGAGGAAGAGAAGATTGCATTGCATATATTCTCTCATTAAAACCCTAAAATATTTCTTGATATCCAGACTTGAGAACAAGCTGAGATTCCCAGCATTCAGTCATCTTGTAGAAATCACCTAACTGCTGGCTGAATATTATTAGTACAGATATAATTAGTTAATGAAGTAGATATGTTCCTGGGCTTTACTTTGATGGAAAATTTGGTACCAGAGGCAGAAATAACACAAAAAGAATAGGAATGATTTCCTATGCCACAAAACAAAGGAGCAGTTCCATATATTTCAGCAAACTTTATATTCAAAACGTACAATATGTGCAAGTGAAAAGAAACAAACCAGTCAGGCATACCTTGCATAATTATATAAGAAAATTGAACTTCTTGCATAATTATATAAGGAAATTGAACTTCTGTAGTTTTTCCAAAATGCATCTATTCAACCAAACTTCACTTTCCTTTTATATTTATTTTGTTGGTGAAAATGTTATAGTTTTTTTAAAAAAATGCAGGCCCTGAGTCCCCCTTTGGGGGTAGAGAAGGGAGGGGTACAAATATTTGAAATAAATAAATAACTGGGGAGACAAGCTTATCTACTCTCCCAATTTCTTCTGCAGTTCATGCATGCTCAGTAAGTTTCTGGAGGCAGCTGCTGTTTACTTTGCTTTTTGTGGGTAGGGACACACAGTTACAGTAAAGTCATCTTGCGTGGCATCCTGCACTTCTTGAGCTCAAGCTGATCCACTCCCTTGTTCTACTAAATAAGCACGAGAAGATAGTAGGACAGAAAGTCTTCTACAGGCCAGTTTAGAGCTCTAATGGACAATCACTTAATTTATACTGTCATTGAACTCATATCTCTGGATGTGTGGCTTTACATGTACTTTCTATCTTGTCTGCTGAGGAAGCTGTTTTTCTGGAATGCAGCTTCTATGCATCTTGACAAATAGTTGGGCATATCACTAGTTTGCTGACATAGTGGAGTGTTACATAAACTGGGGGGTGTTATCTGAGATACTACCATCTGCACACTGCATGGAAAATTCAGCAGTGGTAGGTAAGCTCTCTTCCAGGGAACTCCGAGCATCATTACCAATCTTACAAATCATCCTGGGAGAAACCCCCAAATTCACCCAAAGGCGCTTGGAGAATTTACTACTCAAGCTATTTTAACAACATTGTTCATTACTAATGTATATAATGTCTTAAAACACATTGCTTAACTTCCATTTTTGGGAGGCAGTAACGACTGGAACTGGGAGCTTTGCCAGGTTGAGCAGGGTCAGTGGCCCTGTCTTTAGGTGTACTTTTTTCAAAATTATTGGGAGCTTGATATCAGCCGAATAATTGCTTCTTGCAGAATTATGCTTCGGTGGTTTCCCACCAAATTGTGTGATAGACTGCATTGACATCTTCTACACATTGAACCTCCACGAGTAACTCTGCTCTATAAGTCATGTGTACATTCTAAATGATGTTGGCGTAAACTAGGTTTTAGTTGTATATCAACCACTCATGCATTTGTTGTGGGATGCAAAGTTCTTCCTTGCTAAGAGGGCAGGGTGAGTAACAATTTACTAAAAGGAGGCTTAATATTTTAAAGTAGAGTAATCAAATTTTAAAGAGCAATCAAAAGTGTATATTTTTCTCAGCCTTTCTTCAAGGAGCTAGGGTGTTGTGAATAGATTTTCCCCTTTATCTTATAACAGCGTTGTGAAGGAGATTAGGATGAGACCATGACTACTAGCCCAAAGTTCAGACATTTCTAAAGCTCATAGTCTTATGTTTCCTGACAGATTTCAAAATATGGCTTAGGGCCCCTTTACACTGCCATATAATCCAGAATATAAAGGTAGATAATCAACATCTGTTTTGAACTGGATTATCTGAGTCTTTATTGCCAGATAATCCAATTCAAAGTAGATAATCTGAGGCCCCTTCCACACAGCTGTATAAAATCCCACATTGAACTAGATGATACGGCAGTGTGGACTCAGAGAACCCAGTTGAAAGTAGATATTATGGATTATCTGCCTTGATATTCTGGGTTATATGGCTGTGTGGAATGGCCCTTAGTTGCAGCAATGTATGTACTTGGCCACGGTGGTCCACGCTCTAGTTACATCTAGGATAGACTACTGCAACACGCTCTACGTGGGTTGCCTTTGAAGATTGCTCGGAAGCTTCAAATAGTCCAATGAGAGGCAGCCAGGTTAATAACTGGGGCAGCATACAGGGAGCATACAACTCCCATGTTACGCCAGCTCCACTGGCTGCCAGTTTGCTACCGGGCACAATTCAAAGTGCTGGCTTTGGCCTATAAAGCCTTAAACGGCCCCTGCCCAAATTACCTGTCTGAATGCATCTCCCCCTATGAACCATCGCGGAGATTAAGATCCCCCAGGGAGGCCCTGCTTACCGTCCTGCCATTGTCACAGGCACAACTGGTGAGGACGAGACTAGATTGGTGGGGACTAGTGTCTAGATCTAGGGAAGTAATGCTACTCCTCTATTCTGTTTTGGTTAGACCACATCTGGAATATTGTGTCCAATTCTGGTCACCACAATTCAAGAGAGATATTGACAAGCTGGAATGTGTCCAGAGGAGGGCGACTAAAATGATCAAGGGTCTGGAGAACAAGCCCTATGAGGAGCGGCTTAAGGAGCTGGGCATGTTTAGCCTGAAGAAGAGAAGGCTGAGAGGAGTGATATGATAGCCATGTATAAATATGTGAGAGGAAGCCACAGGGAGGAGGGAGCAAGCTTGTTTTCTGCTTCCCTGGAGACTAGGACGCATGGAACAATGGCTTCAAACTACAAGCGAGGAGATTCCATCTGAACATGAGGAAGAACTTCCTGACTGTGAGAGCCGTTCAGCAGTGGAACTCTCTGCCCCGGAGTGTGGTGGAGGCTCCTTCTTTGGAAGCTTTTAAACAGAGGCTGGATGGCCATCTGTCAGGGGTGATTTGAATGCAATATTTCTGCTTCTTGGCAGAATGGGGTTGGACTGGATGGCCCATGAGGTCTCTTCCAACTCTTTGATTCTATGATTCTATGAGAGACAGGGTCTTCTCAGTGATTGCTCTCTGGCTATGGAACTCCCTTCCTGGTGAGATCAGGTCGGACCCCTCCCTCCTGTCCTTTAGAAGGATGTTAAAAACTTGGCTGTGGGACCAAGCTTTCGGGACAGGGCAATAAAGCGGCAATAGGAAAGATGACCAGGCCAATTAGATTTGACGCAGATGACTAGAACAGTTTTAAATGGTGTATTTTAATATTTTGATAAATGTTTTTAATGTTTATGTATTGTATGTGAATTTGTGTCCCGGCATTGAATGTTTGCCATGTATATGCTGTGCTCTGCCTTGAGTCTCCTTTGGGGTGAGAAGACCAGAATATAAATGTTCTAAATAAATAAATAAATAAATAAATAAATGTATAACAGAATAATGCCATGAATATAGGTATTTGTCATGCACTACAACCGTTACTTCCCTTACTCCTTTTTATGTTATAACAGCAAGTGTGTCTCAATGTTAGATTTATGGGCTCTGGAGAAACCATTGCAGGTACTTCTTTTTGCAGTAAGTGTTGTGGCATCTAAGGCAATCAAACAAAAGGATGGGATTATAGTTGGCATTTTTATGGTGCTGTGAGCATAGCTTCAATCTGGGGCTACATTAGACAGATGCCATATTAGTATGTGGGAAGGGATCATTCACTTCTAATTTTCAAGTGAACCTTTAGTGTGGGTTAAGGTTGGCTGAGCAAGTGCATTGAGTCATAATTAATATATTTCTAGGTAGGTGGAAATCAATATTGTTAAGTACACTATTAAATTTTGATTTGGGGGAAATTTTGCAAGCCTGTCTTGAAGGCTGGTTTTCTGATTCTCTGTTCCCACATATCAATTTTCACAATTAGGTATACAGATGGCAAGCCAATAAAAATGCAGAGTGGCTAAACACTTTACTTGCTGACTCTATCCAAAGACCTTGAGAACATGTGTGGTTTCCCTTGTCTTGTTTTTCATTAGCTACTTTATTCTTCTAATTCTTCTGTTTCAGAATAAATCCTAGTTTTTGAGATTTTGGGAGATAACGTGAGTTCCTCATTTCCATAGTGGGACAGTGGAATGGAACTGGGTTAGACAAAGACGCAAGCATCCTACCATTCTGGTACATACGTGTTGATTGAGTACGACTGTTTTGTCCCGCTTTCTTGAATGCCCTGTGAGGAGTCGCGACAAATGACCAAAGCTTGACTCCTGTGGTCAGTAATATCTTCTCTCTCTTTGTCTCTTCCTTTTCTAGTTCCATTGCTGTCTTGGGGTCCCAGTTTCAATTTTAGCATCTGGTATGTTGAACTCAGTGGCATCGATGATCCAGACGTAGTGCAGCCCTGCCTCAATTGGTACAGCAAGGTAGGACTATATATGAAAAGACTACAGAATCTATGGGAATGTGTGGGAGAGGAAGAAAGACCATGTACTTTAAAGGGCTTGCTAGAATTTTGCTCAGCAGATATGTTTCACAGCCGACTCTGTCATTCAACTACTGCATGACATCTTCAGCAACCACTTTTAAAAATATATACTTTCTCAGAATTTAATAGTTTGACATGGATCTTTAGGTTTGGCAGAGTGCCTGTGAATTTGCAGAAAGTGAAGTGCTTTTGGAAAAAAGTTACTTTTGGGAAAGGCATATGTTTTGAAATGGAAGCACATACATGTTTATAACTTGGTTTGGTTGCAAAATTGTTAGTATCTTAGTGCATATTATACAGTTGGTAAGTTGTTTGTTTGCTTTGTTCTGTTAGAAATGTAATATAATTGACTGGTTGCCCTAACACGACAAATAAATAAAATAAATAAAATAGTTGGTAAGTTGATTTTATCTGTTCAGAATTGAAAAGATCTTGGGCACTATCTAACACCATGTGAGCGAATGTCCAATTTTACAGTGCAATGTAATATATGATGTTATTTTTGTGATGTGTTGTGATGGGCATTGAATTTTTGAGAAGGATGGTATACAAATACCTCAAATAATGTGAACCACTCTGAGTCCCCTTTGGGGTTGAGAAGGGTGGTATCCAAATACCTCAAATAATAATAGTAATACAGTGGTGCACTCTGCCTTTCCCCTTCCCCTCTCCATAGCTTTTTGAGCCTTCTGCTAACCTGCCTCAGGTGATCTCTTCATCCTCTGGAGCAGATTTCGAAGGGTTTCACTGAGAGAGAACAGTGTCTTCCTACTCGTAGAAGCAGTTTCCTCAGAGAGAAAGGGGAATTGAATTTCATCTTTAGCATACTGGTTCTGTAGAAAGTGTCTAATTTCAATCTTGGAAGAGCTTTGCAATTACCACCAGTCAGTGTATGAAGCATTAAATTAGGTGACGCAGTTGTCTGACTACAAATGTTTCTGTAAATTGTTAGTAGAAATGTATATGGTCAGATGAATTTTATAGAACCATTGTAACTGTTAGTGATTGAAATTTGAAATATATATAACAGAAAATATCACTGAACTATCTTTGGGTACAATAGCTATTCGTTTTAAAGAGCTTTGTTGTATATGGTACAAGGAAATCAGAATTCAGTTCCTCACATACTATTTATGGGGCTGAAACTGCTTAGACCCACATATACCAACCAGAATTCTTTGGAGAAAGAAGAGGTCATAATGTACACATTGCCTTATGGTCCTGTTAACATTCTCCCATTCTCAAATCTGTCTTCTTTGGAAGAGAAAAAGTATGGTATAAATACTATTCCTAACCACAATAAGAACTCCCCAAGGACTTGTGTCTTCCTGCAATCCAAAACCAAGGCAACTTATTTTATAGTGTTTGGATTGGAGAGCTGCAGTAATGTTCTTACAGACTTTCTTGTGTTCCAGTAGTACCGTGAACAGGAAGCCATTCGCCTCTGTCTGAAGCACTTTCGCCAGCACAATTACACAGAGGCCTTTGAGTCATTGCAGAAGAAGACCAAGATTGCGCTGGAGCATCCCATGCTGACAGACCTTCATGACAAGTTAGTCCTGAAAGGAGACTTCAATTCTTGTGAAGAGTTGATAGAAAAAGCTGTGAATGGTAAGAATTGTGGTGGTCCTGAGATGTGTTTTCTTGATTGACTTGGTGGGCAGCTCGTGAATGGATCCATTGTGGCTCTAGGTGGACTTTTGAGGGTCCTTTCTAACTATTTGGTTTGTTTGCCAGTGAAACAGGGCCATACTCTGGTTGGAATGATAATGCGGACTTCATCTTTCTTGCCAGCACTGTAGCCTCCCTTGCACTTTGGAAGGCAGCCAGCTTCAAACAGATGTTTAAAACAGAAGTTTTCATGTTGACATTCTGTTGCCTCTCTCAGGGGCATATTCCCTAAAGCTGCTATAGAACCAGTTATGTGTAATTTTAGAGCCTGACTGCCAGTCATGTTCATTGTATCAGAAGCAGTCAAGTGTAGATGAGACTTCAAGTGTTGAGACTACCATGCTATAGTATCTTAAAGAGGTGGAAAAGTTAGGAAAGGGCCTTGGAGGCAAACACGGATAAGTTTGGAGCTTGGAAAAGTTACAGTACTTTTGACTGTCACAGCTCCTGAAAACCTTGGCTTGCATGCAGTTACTTGTCCTAGTGATTGAAAGTGGAATGAGCATGGATAGGCTAGCCATGAAAGGAAGATGGCGGCCAGAGGCGACTGCTTTGCCCCAAACCTCTTTGCCTTCCTCTGGGGGACTGTCAGACCTTTCAGCAGTAGCTTCTGTCTGGCTTCTTTTGATCCAGTGCCATTGGTAGCCATATTTATACAGTTCTTGTGCAGGAGCACTGTCAGGTGGGATTACCTATCGGGACACGTTCCAAACAATTGAATTTATATCTTTAGGGCTGAGAAAATTTTGTCTTTGGTTTCAAAGATACAAATGCCCCTAAGGATGATTTTCCTCTAGGCTTATTTGCTGACTCTGGAGGGATCGTGGGGTCAGTTCAAACTCTGATCTGGAACAAGCTATTTATATGCATGGTGCTGGAATAAGAATGATTTTAGGCCTTTGTCATGCCCTCTGTATAACATATTGTGCAGCTGGTGTACCACCCAGCCTTTCTTATAAAATCTAAGGTATTATAAGCATATATAATCTTACTCTTTATAATATACTGCATTGAAAAAATATTGCAGTGTACAAATATTTGTGTTTCCCTGTGTATAATCTGTCCCTGAAATTGGTTATGAACCAATCCATAGTCTTCTGTGATCTTAGATTGTCTTGACTGGTTACTTGTATCACTTTGTTTTATTGGACTGAATTTAGGAGACAACCTGTCAGTTGTACCACATACTTTTATTTAGCAGTTAAATGGGACATATCCCACCCCCTAATAGATTGGGAGTCTTGTGGCTCTTCATATGTTGGATTCCCAAGTCCTAGCAGGCCTAGCCAATTGTGAAGAATGCTAGAAGTTGCAGTCAAACAGCATCAGAGGGCCATATGATTCCTACCCCAGCCTTATATACGATATTTATAGGTACAAGGATTCCACTTCTACAATTTTTATAATTTTTACACTTCGCATGTGGCCTAGCTCGCCCTTATTTAATTCTTCTATCATTCCATACTTTGTTTTATTATGTTATTGTCACTATTTTATTGTATTGTTATGTTATTGTTAAGTATTTTTATTTGATTTTATCATCTGTTTTGTATGCATTTTATTTTGCCCCATTGTTATTGCTTGGGCTTGGCCTCATGTTTATTTATTTATTTTATTTTATTTCAACTATTTGTACCCCACCCTTCTCAACCCCCGGAGGAGGACTCAGGGCGGAGTTGCCCCGAGACCCTTCGAGGAGATGGTGGCAGGATATATACAAAGTATAATAATAATAATCATCATAAGGCTCATGGATATATTGGTTCTTATGGTAGCTGGATGTGGGTAGCCTTTATTTGGCTGTCTACAGTTGAACAGTCAGATATGGTCAGGCATCCTTAACTTGGTGTGTCTACACCAGGAATGGGCAAACTTTGTTTCTCCAGTTGTTAGGAATTGTGGGAATTGAAGTACAAAACACCCTGGGGCAGAAGTTTGCCCATAATTAGTCCACACAAACGTAACTTAGTGTTGCAGCCTGTCTACTTGGATTGAATAAAGCAGTGTTTCTCAAACTGTGCTCCTCCAAGTGTTTTGGACTTCAGCTCCCAGAAATTCCAGCCTGTTTACTAGCTGTTAGGAATTGTGGGAGCTGATGTCCAAAACATCCGGAGGAACGCATTTTGAGAAACTGCAATAAAGTATATATATTTTTTGTCTACTCCCCCCCCCCCCCCCCCCCCCCATGTGGAGTTTGGCGTAAGAGGTGGATCTCTTGCTTCAGAATGTACTCTGAGTGAACTCCAGTCAAAGGAGTGTTTGTCCCTGTCTGGGAAGGGACTGGGAATCTTTTTTCCACTGGTGTATCCCTCAATTGTCTTGAACTAAAATCAGAAAAAATAATGAGGTAGCTTTATCCACCGGGCAAAAGCTTGGGCAGCTTGTACGTAAACACCTTCTTCTGGTCATATGTTTCCTTGAAGACCTGACTGAGATGCCCAAGTACCAATTTTCCCATAGTTCTTCTGCCAGAAAACGTCTCAAGTGGCTTAGGCTTGTATTTCTGTGGTTTAACTGGCCAAAGGTGACATAGAAATGAAGCTCTCTGGAATATTAAATAACCACGTAGCTCTGTTGGCATTGCACTTCTACTTAGAAATGCCAGGTTGTAATTTGTCATGGTATTGTACCAGGAAAGAGAGCAGGTAAAGAGAAAAAGGGGGTATGAACCTAGGACTAAAGCTGACTTGTACGAAGGAGTGGTTCTTTGTTTTGGCTTTGTTCAAGCATGGCAGACAACTCTTTGCCCTTCATTAACAGATAAAAGTCTTTTCAGTGTATCTTGGCCATCAGCCACACATTCCCCCTGCCACCGCCTCATTTCTTCGGAAATTCTCAGAAAGCGTGTAAATGGAAACTCAGGCAGCTGCCGGATTTCCTCTTGGAAATAACAAAGGTTTCCCTGAATCTCAGCTATTTCAGAGCCGTGGCTTAAATACCTCATATTTGGATTAATTCCTGGAGTTTCCAGGCAGCCTGTGTACTCTGACAAGAAAGTTCAGCCTCATATATTAGAAATCTGAACACAGAGTTACTTTTATAATGGTGTTTGAAATGTCTCCAAAGTGCAGGCAGCATGTTCTCTCCAAAACACAGCCTCCAAAGATTTCTTTAGCCAACCTTGTGCAAATCTATACTTGTAATATTAATGAAGACCCCACCCATTCCCCTTTCCGGCCCACTAGGCCAACACTCTACCCCCCCCCTCCCGACCGCCATATCTCTTGACAGTAACTGACTGAGGCCTAATTCTGATGTAATCCTTTTCATTTTCCAAGAAATTGAATCGAATGGAAAACCAACATCTGAATGGCCAGTCGCCTGGTTTTTCCAGGAAATATCAGTCAGCATAACTGAGCAGGAAGATAATATCCTGCTTGTTGGTATTTTTCCTGTGAAGATGAAATTGGGTTTCTTTCTGAGGTCTTGTTTTTCATGTATAGAATTGAGTGTTTCTCAAGTGGTGCTGGTGGTGGGGAAATACAGAATTGGTGACTTTTCATAGAGCTTGATTGTAGATGCAGGCATTCAAATGTGCCTTGAACTTACTTATTCCAGAGGCAGGCTATTTGTTTTTCAAGTTCTGAATTCTTTTATGGCCTCTTGCCTTGAATGGCCCTGAATATTTCCTGTTTATGCTGTTTTGAAAGTACTGCCCCAAATGGTACCAGTTGTCCTAGTCAATTCGAAAGAAAACCCCACATTTCATCTTCTCTCTATTGATTTAGGAGTGTTGGGGTGGTCAGGTGTCCGAAGAATAGGTTTGCTGAACTATAACTGAAGTAATTAAAACATGGGCCAAATTGGGGAGGAGATGAAGAAGGAAAGCAAAGCATATTGTATTATCCATGGAGTTGATGTAGTTTGATAGATAAATTCACTCATTGTACCCTGAAGACATGAACCTATAGGATCAAGTCCAATTAGTTTAGTTGTGCCAGAGTTTTGATACAGATATACATTAGAAGTACAAGCTTTTGAGTATTTTAGACTGTGGACCCATCTCATTGAGGTGATCTGATTCCCACATTCATAGAATCATAGAATCATTGAGTTGGAAGAGACCTCATGGGCCATCCAGTCCAACCTCCTGCCAAGAAGCAGGAAAATCTCATTCAAAGAGGCCTGAGAGATGGCCATCCAGTCTTTGTTTAAAAGCCTCTGAAGAAGGAGCCAGCAGCACACCCCAGGGCAGAGAGTTCCTCTGCTGAACAGCTCTCTCTCACATTTAGGAAGTTCTTCCTCATGTTCAGGTGGAATCTCTTTTCCTGTAGTTTGAAGCCATTGTTCTGTGTTCTAGTCTCCAGGGCAGCAGAAAACAAGCTTGCCCCCTCCTTCCTACCATTTCCTCATACATATTGATACACGGCCCTCATAATGTCTCCTTTCAGCCTTCTCCTCTGCAGGCAAAACATGCCCAGCTTTTTCAACTGCTCCTCATAGGGCTTGTTCTCCAGGCCCTTGATCTTTTGAGTCGCCCTCCTTTGGATACATTCCATTTTGTCAACATCTCCTTTCAATTGCGGTGCCCAGAATTGGACACAGTATTCCAGGTGTGACAAGACTCAAAAGCAGAATAGAGGGGTAGCATGACTTGCATGTGCAAAGTTTGTAAAAAGCGGCACTGAATTTTTCAGTGCTTTATTAGTAGCTTCTAATGTTTGTTTAATTATTATTTGCCCTCCTGGTAAACAGAGAAGTGGATTTCCTTAGAAGTGAAAGGCACATACTTCTTCTAGAAATAAATGTATTACTCAAGCACTGCTTATGACCCAAATCGCATACAAGATGGAAATTCTGTAGAACTTTGGCATATGATGCTCATGCCAGCCTTCTGCGCCATGTCTTAGTTACTTGTGTTGCACATGGCAGTGGCTAAACTATATACCTTCCACCCATGAAGCTTAAGCCTAACACCCTGGCTTGCTCCCCTCCAGCACGTGAAAAAGGACTTGAAGGCATATTAACAAAATACATGTAACAAGGGAATTCTTTCCAGAGAAGTTTCTTACTTCAAGGAAAGTTGACTCTGGATTAACAAATGTATTGCATTCACACTTGAAAGTCTGTGTTTTATGCCACACTTCGAAGATTTATAGCTATGGTCACAGTTTGTATCCCATGGCACTCTCATTCCATCCCACAACTAGGGAATTTCTGTTTTCTTGTGTCTGTCAACTCTGTGCATATGTCTGAGGATGTGAGTTGTCATCCACAAAAACTGATGGTAAAATAAACAAGTTAGGGTGGATTACTTTCCCTCATCCTGCTTTCATTTGAAATTATGTCATTTTAAATAACAGACAAGTCTAATCTAATGCAGACCAGCTCCTGAGCGTGGGCTGCACGGTGCATTGTTGACTCATCTGCTTGGGTGGCTTTGGCTATCTTGGCAAAAGTGCAAAGAATGCAGTGGCAGAAAGCAAAGGAGGTGTGTGTGTGTTTTCTGTAAGATTCATGTCTCCATTTTCTTACCCCCCCTCCCCCAATCACATCCTGCCAGTGTCACCTCGTTGGTGGTTCACCCTCAAAACAAGTCTTTATTGGTTTGTCAAAGAAGGAGAATGGAACCAGAATGGCTGCCAACAGAGTGATGCTTCTGGGAAGAAACCTGGAAGAATTCCAGGGCAGTGTCCCATGCAAAAAAAGTGGGGCTGGACACAGTGAGGGTGGTGGCAATGATTATGTGTGGCACACATCATAATTCAGATTTGCTTTCTACAATTTCAGCCCTTTAAGCACTCCTTCCTGGCTTTTAATTGTAGGGTTTAGCCTTGATTTCTTTACATATGAAAAGCATCTTCAGGCATTCCCAAGGTTATGAATAAGATAGGTTCCGTAGGTTTGTTCTTAAGTTGAATTTGTATGTAAGTTGGAACAGGTACTTTTTTTAAGTGTAACTCCGGCACACACACACATGCATGCAGACACACACACATGCATGCAGACACACACACACACACACACACACACACAGAGATATACGTATACACACACATATGCTTTGAATAACATAGGGAAGGTGTTTGTTTTGCTGTCTGTGCCCCTGTTCAGAAGACTTCACTTTCTGTCTCTGAGAACAGGATTTTGAAAAATGTGGCTTGATATAGAAACAAGCGTTGGTGATAAAGCTTCAGTGGATACACATTAGATGAGTCTTGTCAGTCCTGAAAAACTTAAAAGAAGCCCCGATCCCACCTTTCCTCTGTGCTGCAGGCTTGCTTCTTTTTGAATGTCTGGGTGGGAAAATGGTGGTGGCAATGGTTCTTGTTTCTGGCCCAGCTTACTTGTCTGAACACATCCACCCCTATGTCCCACCTCGAAACCTAAGATCATCCGGGGATGCCCTGCTCTCGCTCCCGTCAACAGCACAAATGTGCCTGGCGGGGATGAGAGACAGGACCTTCTCGGCGGTCCCCCCCGCCTATGGAACACACTCCCAACTGAGGTAAGATCGGCCACCTCCCTCCTAGTTTTTCGAAAGAAACTAAAGGCATGGTTTTGGGACCAGGCTTTTGGACAATAGATGCAAGCAGCACTTTAAGGGAATGTGACTGGAATGACGATATGGCTGATGAGATTGTTTTACTGTTTTAACGATGGCTTATGTATTGTTAATTATGCTTTTAGGTCTAATTGTGGTTTTAATTTTGTAATTTGTTATGTAATAGCTTCGGAATGGGGCCCATTGTAACCCGTCCTGAGTCCTCCTTTGGGGACTGAGAAGGACAGGATAGAAATGCGAGAAATAATAATAATAATAATAATAATAATAATTTGTACACAAAGGAGCACCGAAAGAGTAGAGGAGGTTGGTGGTTCTGTTACACATCTTAACCAAAAAGGGAACCATCTCTTTCTCTGAGTAGAGTGGTAAGATATGTTTTTGAATGCCTGGGTGGAGAAATGGCCTTGGTCAGTGGCTGCTGACCCCCTCTTGGCAACATTGGTGGTCTCCTCTCTGAGGAATGACTCTTGACTTACCTGCAGATCATATCAAAATCCATATTTTTAACCCCAAAATCCATCCTCAATGTATATTTGAGTCCAACCTATATACAAATACATATAGTTTTTTTTGTTCCTGAAGCTTTATTACCCTCTATTTGAGTACAAAACTCATTTAATAGAAACACCCACTTGATGACCTTCTATACTGTTAGTTACAATTAGTAGCAGCTTTTCTGACTGCGCCTCTTCACTTCTTTTCCCTGAAAGATCTTTCCAGGCAGAAAGAAATTAAAGCTCTCTTGCTTCCCATGCATCGGCTTTTATATCCTGCAGTTAATTCCTTTTTACTACATTCTTAGTGGTTTTAAAGTGCTGCATTTAGTTGAGGACTACAATCCGGACAATCCTACATAAATATTGTAGATTGCTTTCCTTTGTACGATAGCATTCCTTTCAACATACCACATTAAAATAAGAGGTGAAATGTAATTTGCTAGCAGAAAAGAAGATAAAAAATCTGTAGCTGATAAAGCTTCTGTTAGGTAAGGCTTGAAGATAACTGTGTCAGTGGTGATTATAGAAACATGGAGATTTGGAGATAATTGGTAACAATTTGGTTTGTATAGGGCATTTCTTTGGCATTACTTAATAACAGCTATCTTTGTGTTTTGTCTTTTTTCAAAATCACAACAGATGGTTTGTTCAACCAGTACATCAGTCAACAGGAGTATAAACCACGATGGGGACAGATAATTCCCAAAAGCACCAAAGGTGAGCCAGTACTGTTGAAGTCAGGGTATCTATTTTGTATGATATGATCTGTAACAGACTATATGGGAATTCAAGTTAGCGTAGAATGTAGCAACCAGGATCTTGTACGGTTGTAGTGCAGCCAGTGAGATCAGTTCAAATTGTGTTATGACTTTAGATACATCTCCATCCATTTCTGTCTGTTGTTGCCTTACTCTAGGTCACTGGTTCCCAACCTTTAATCCTGATTGTTTTGGACTTCAAATTCCAGAAATTCCTTACCAGCTGTTAGGAATTATGGGAGCTGAAGTCCAAAAAACCTGGAGAACCCAAGGTTGGGAACCACTGCTCTTGGGATTATAATTGCATGCTGTCCTGCTTTGCATAAATTCAGGGTTTTCTTTTGGTGATGTTGTGGTTCCCAGGGCCATTTTAGCTGTGTTATAGGTCCCTGGGAAAAGCAGTGCACTGGGCTCTGCCAACACAACCACTTACAGGAACAAAAATGTAAATTATTGATAAAATACACTTTTATTTATTGGTACCACATAATAATTTTACAGTTTCTTCTTCTTGGTGGAAGTGTTAGTGAAACTAATGTTGAATGGAGACACACCCACCACATTCCCAGGAAGAGAGCAAACAGACTGAAGCAGGCAATCTGGCTGGCTAGCTATGTCTTACCTTCTTTCATCCCCCATCAGCAGAGGAGCCAGGCTGCTCCCTGGCTCCCACTTGTCCAAGAAGTCACTCAGCTCAACCAATTGACTGGTTGGCTGGCAGGGGTTGAGAGGGAGCTCACTTGAAATGGGCAAGCGGGAGAGTCCAGGTTATCTGTGGAAGCGTCAAGAGCAGGGGAGGCGAATGGCCGACTTATTCCTTGGCTCACACCCAATTTCTCCCCCTCACCTGTCATAGCCACTGCAAGTACTGCTTTGCCGGTGAGAGGACAAGCTACGCCTGCACATAGATTAGCATAGGCCCTTACACTTGTAGGGCCCCCATATGCTCATCCCCCCCCCCCTGCCACTGCCCTGCTTGTGCCCATGTGCTAAGATGGCACTGGTGACCATCAATTCGAATAACACTGAGGAGCAATTTATATTGTCCTTTACCTTTGTGTGTGTCTATTGGGAAATTACAGTGCAGTGATTTCTAGCAGGCTGTAAGGAGCCCACTCCTACTCTAGATAGTAGTGTAGATCTAGTAGGCTCGTTTTTTTTCTTTCTTTTTGTGGCTATACTATGCATATTTCATACAGTCACTTCTGTTTCATTCTTGGAATTCATAATCTCAGCAAAATTTGATTAATAATAAGATTATTTTCTCTTTTCTCAAACTGGAATAAGGTGATGGTGAAGACAGCAGGCCTGGGATGCGAGGTGGTCATCAAATGGTGATTGATGTTCAAACAGGTGAGCACTTTTATTTTTATTTTTTCCAGACAAAGGTGGCACTTCAGTTTCTGCATCTGTTTTCAAGGCAATCTGTTTTGTGAGTAATTAGTGTGAATTTCTGTTCAGTCTGATGAGATCATGTGGAAGGCCCCAGAAGAAGGGTCATTGCTAAATATGAGGATGCAGCTTTTGATTCCAGTACCATCCTAGTCCTCCAAATATGCAACAGCATAAGCAAATCCATGTCCCAGTGGAGAAGCATAGCACAGTTGCAGGCCAAAACAAAAATGAAACAAGGACAACTTCCTTGGGAAATTCTCATGGTCATCTCAGGCCTTGTTCTGGCATAGCTTAAATCTGATGATTTGCTTGTTTATTTTGTTGATAATATTTTGTCCCACATTTTTATGATGAGATCTCATGACAGCAAAAAGATGATTTAATTGCATATTAAAATTAAGAAACAAGGAAAATACATGAAACAAATTCAAACCTCAGTGAGAGCCATGTAAGAAATAAAATTATTATTATTATTATTATTATTACTATCACGTTAAAACGCCTTAAAAGGGCTGAAGGAGAGGACTTGTACAAAGTTTTAGGGTCACTTTCTAGCTATAATTTCTAGACTTATAAACAAGTATATATACTGTATTTACTGTAGTACAATAATTGCATACATCATTTCACCATCCCCACAGAATAGTGACTGCTTAGATTGATAGAATATCAGTGACATTTCTGAACTATAATTTCTGTGAAAATAAACATGCACCAAATAGGCATTTAAAGTAAAGGTAAAGATTTCCCTGTGACATTAAGTCTAGTTGTGTCCGGCTCTGCGAGGTGGTGCTCATCTCCATTACTAAGCTGAAGAGCCAGCACTGTCCATAGATGTCTCCAAGGTCCTGTGGCCACCATGACTGCATGGAACGCCGCTACCTTCCTACCAGAGCGGTACTTATTGATCTACTCACATTTGCATGTTTTCAAACTGCTAGGTTGGCAGAAGCTGGGGCTAACAGTGGGAGCTCAACCCGCTCCCCAGATTCGAATAGCTGACGTTTTGGTCAACAAGTTCAGAAGCTCAGTGGTTTAACCCTCTGCACCACCAGGGGCTCCAAATAGACATTTAGCACATATTTAAAGAAGTTTTTTTTAGCAATAACAGAGGATATGGCTTCAGACTAAAGACTAACAAAGCATAGTATGTACAGTATATTGTTCTAGTAAATTTTTCTGTTGAGTCTGGAGTCAAAGTCAGTACATTTTGACCAGATCCACCCAAAATTCCTTTTCAGTTCAAAGGCCTGAGGGAAGGCGTTCCACGAGTTGGGCACTGCAGCTGAGACGGTTCTGTTCATTCCTCTCTCTTTCCTTTCTTCCCTTTTGGATCTCTTTGCTTGCGCCTTCCATTTACTTTCCTGACTGGCCCAGTTTGATCCAGCCTTCCTGCTTGGTGACCCATTCTGGGGAGTGGATCATCATATGTCTGTTTATAATTTGAAGTGTTACAGCTTTGGCTGCAGGATCTCTGGTCTTCTTTAGATTTTTATTCTAGGATGTCTTGTTGTTGGGCTTCATTCCTGGGACGGGCTCTGTTGAGGCAAGCCTTATTAGCATCCAGAGCGATCATAGTTTGGGGTCAGTACGCGGTTGCGTATTTGTAACTGGATACATCCGTTGCCCCTGGGGTCCTCTGCGGTTTTGCAGTTACAGCAGAAAGAGACATAAGGTCATGAAGCGAGGGACAGTGTTTGTTGTGGGCCAGCCCAGAGTTCTTTTGGAGTGACTTCTCAATTAGGATCCGATTGTTGTGAGGATCCTTTTAACTGGATAGCTTGACTGATAGTTAGTGCCTGTTTTTTTGCTTTCCATTACCTCAGCTAGGATAAACATTTAAAAAAGAAATTAGAATCATTGTTGGAAGAGACCCCAAGGTCTATCCCAGGGGTCCTCAAACTAAGGCCCGGGGCCCGGATGTGGCCCTTCAAGGTCATTTACCCGGCCCTCGCTCATGGTCAACCTAAGTCTGAAATGACTTGAAAGCACACAACAACAACAACAACAACAACAACAACCCTATCTCATCAGACAAAAGCAGGCCCACACTTCCCATTGAAATACTAATAAGTTTATATTTGTTAAAATTGTTCTTCATTTCAATTATTGTATTGTTTTTAAGTGTTTTGCACTACAAATAAGATATGTGCAGTGTGAATAGGAATTCATTCATGTTTTTTTCAAATTATAATCCGGCCCTCCAACAGTTTGAGAGACTGTGACCTGGCCCTGTGTTTAAAAACCTTGATGACCCCTGGTCTATCCAGTCTAACCTTCTGTCATGCATAAATTCACAACCAAAGAATTCCCAACAGATGACCATCCAGCCTCTGTTTGAAAGCATCCAGAGAAAGAGACTCTATCACACATTGTCAAGCAGTTTTTAGAGTTTACTATGAACATCCATCTAATTGTAGTAAATACTGCATTTTGGAAAAAAATTCTGTTCCCCTATGCATTTATTTAAAAATAATGTTCTGTATCAGTGTATTATAGTTATTTTGGCCAAAAATCAATTATTAGACCCATTAAATCATTGCAAAGATGGTAAGTTAACACCTATTAAGCTCCATTGATGCACTGGGTCTACTATCAATTGGATTTAGGTCTGTATTATCAAGTACTAGCAGTAGTGTCGAAGAAGTGGTAATACAGTTGAAAAGCACCCTCTAGTGGATAGGAGATATTAATAGGATTTTGAGATCTTCATATTACCTCAACTACATAGGAAAGGTTACAGGAAATGTCTTCCGGGCTTGCCTGACACATTAATTCTGTAGAAGAACTACCTTTTGGAAGTCTACGATTATTTTCCTATGTCCTAATCCAGTGGTTCTCAACCTGTGGGTCCTCAGGTGTTTTGGCCTACAACTCCCAGAAATCCCAGCTAGTTTACCAGCTGTTAGGATTTCTGGGAGTTGAAGGCCAAAGCATCTAGGGACCCACAGGTTGAGAAACACTGTCCTAAAGAGTAGAAGACAGTGTTCATTGGACAGGCACACAAAATGAGCTGTTAGCTCTCCCCTGGAAGTGCCTTAATTTTTTAGAACAGCAGAATGAAAGCTTCCCCATATGGTACTCAGGTGAGGTATGCTTTCTGCAGTGTATGACAGGTTTTCTGTGTTGTGATGGTCAAAAATATCCCAGATCAGTAGGTTATAAACTTACTTTTCTTCTTTGCACAATAATGGAGTACTGCTTGCAAAATACCCGTACTCCTCCTCTGCATATATCAAAAAATCTGTTGATAGGAGTATGGAGTCAGTTGGCTAGGCAGAAGATCCATAAATTTCTGACCAGATCCATAAATCTCTGACCAGTAAAATAGCTTTCTGTCTATTTCATTGAAACTATATTTGAATATTCCAGAGTTGAAAAAAAGCAGCTGTTTTATGCCTAGAACAACTGACTTTGCCACTACTCTGTGATAAAGTGTGTGTGTGGGTAGGGGGTGGGGGTTGGACAGATAGGTGGATGGACTCTGGTCCTCACATATTTTGGGATTCCAGACCCCTTCTGCCCTAAGCTACAACCTAGCTACTGGTGAAGAATTGTGGGGTTCCCACCTCAGATCATCTTGGAAGCCTACAATTGCCTGTTCTGTTAAATGAGACTGTCTTGGTCTGTGGAGCTTGAAAAAGGGGTCCTTTCTTGTCACCATCTCTATGGACGATTTTGGAATGTTTCAGTTTCTGAAAATCCAGACAAGAGGTGTTCAACCTGTGATAATATTCAATCAACCTTCTTCCTTTCTCCCCTTCTTAAAAATAATTCTGCCCAGTTCTCGATTTGTGAGTGGGTGGACTTCCTCCTTGTTTAATCAAGTTTGAAAGGGCCTTGGTGACTTTCTTAGCTCAATTCATGGGCAAAGACATAATTTCCCCCCTCTATGTACATGCTGTTCTTCTCATTACGGGATAAATCAGAAAAACAAAGGCAGACTAGTGCAATTCCGGCCCAGGGTCCCAGAGTCAGAGGGAGCCTCCTCCCACAGCTGAGATAAAATGCTATGGCATTATTAGGCTATTAATAGCGACATGGCTTGCGTGGGGATGAATCAGCACTTGGCTTGCGTGTCAGCCGCCTGACAGAGATCCCCGCTGGCAATTGATTGCATGTCTGGTGGGCATCCATATTAACATTTTGCACGATGCCTTATGGAGCCAGCACCCACCTTGGTAGAAATGTCAGGTATGCAGCACTGTGTGTTTTAGGCCAACAGTGTGCTGGAACCGATGGTAGCTCTGGTCAAAGGACACTTACGTAACCACTGAACGGAGCTGTAATTAGCACTGCGGTAGCATGTTTTCATAACCAGAAGTCAGACCATTGTCTCTGGCACCAAATAGGCACAAAACCTAAATATTAAGACACGCCGTTCATCCCTTGTGGTGCCCCCCAGCTGCTTATCTGCTAATCAGACCTTGCTTTAAACACTGGCAGTTGCTTTTAGCATCACAGTTTATCTGATAGGAAGTTCCCCCCTTGATAGGTTGAAGAGAGTGATTCCTTGCTTCTGAAGATAAATGGAGGTCTAATTGTTTTGGTGACTGAAACTGGTAGCATGTGTTGTTTGGTTCTTACATGCTGTTGTGGGCATGGGTTATGCTTATGCTTTAATTGTTGTGGGTTTTGGCCTCACTTTTCAGGGAATGCGCTTGACTTAGCAACTGAACATGTGCTCTGCATATGGAAGGTCCTAGGTTCTGGCTCATTGTAGGGCTGCAAAAGACCCCCTCATCTGAAATACCACTGCCATTGTCTAATTGGGGCTGGCAAAGTGCGACCCATCCCTTAAGACCCATCTTTCTGGCCCTTGAAGAAACCAGCTGCCCCCAACAAAGTCCACCAACCCCACTGTTTTTATTTTTAAAAAATGGCTCAATTTTCACACGAAAAGCCCAACCCCATGCATGAAATACAAGGAAATACCATCAGTAGCAAAGAAGAATGTC